TTTTAAACAGAGGCTGGATGGCCATCTGTCAGGGGTGATTTGAATGCAATATTCCTGCTTCTTGGCAGAATACCAAGAAAAACAGCCTCGAGGCACTGATGGAAATAATCGGGAACAGAGTCCGGTTGGCCTTCCATCTTCAGCTCCAGCTGAGTGTCATCAGCGTACTGGTAACACTCAAGACCAAAACCTTGAACCAGCTGAGCAAGTGGTCGCATATAAATGTTAAACAAGAGAGGGGAGAGAATGGCCCCCTGAGGAGGAACCCCACAAGAGAGAGAGGGGGGACCTCTCAGAGACCAGGCTTCCCCTCTCCACTTGCTGTCCACGGTTGTGAAGAAAGGAGGACAGCCTGATGGTGATATAAGACCATAAAATCTAGTCTAGCTCCCATACAAATTTGGTCAGCTATCCATAGTCACAGAAGTGAATTTTTAAAATGCTATTTTGTTTAACTTTTCTAGGAATATCTAGGTTCTCCAGTACAACCCTAGGGTCAACTTCCATTCGATGTTGACATAGAACCACACTGGAGGACCTGGAGAACATTTAATCAGATCTGCCAAAATCAAAATTACTGTTAAAGCATACCCAAAAGATGCCCACCTGAACTCTTTTCAAAGAAAGAAAGTCCTCCACCTTCTAAGACCATCCACTCTATCCTCAGACAGCTCTTACCTTCAAGACGTTCCTCTTTAAGGTTGAATGGAAAGCTCGGTTTTTGAACCCGTTGCTCCTCCTCTCTGGAGCAGCAGATCCCAAGCTTGTGCTGGCAAGAGCTAAATAGCACACAGAAGTGTTTGTGCCCACTTTCCTGGGTTGCACCATTCCTCCCATGTGGCATTTCTAAATGAAGACAGATAACTTGGCTGGCAAAAGACTCAACTCCTGAGTCCAAACTTTGTCTCCATTGCAAATATTAACTCAGTTGCGACCCCAGAGATCCAAAGGCAAGAGCTGAAGAGGAAAGGCTTGCCAACATTTCAAACCAGATCAACAGGGACAAGTGGACAAGTGAGTATAACTTTCTGCCCTTTGATTCTGTCAGTCGTTTGAGGGGGTTTAGCTGTAGCAAACCCTAACCCAAAGATGAAGCACATCTTGGGGTGCATCTATACTGTAGAATTAATGCAGTTTGACACCACTTTGACTGCTGTGACTCAACACTATGGGTTCCTGGAGCTCATCTTTCAAATCATTACATTGCATTGATTTGTAAGTTAGGAGATTTGTCATTGCTTTCTCTTGAAGGAGAGTCAGTGAAATTTGGCCACTGGGTTTCTAAAGCTGAATCGGGATTCGAATCTTGTGATCTCCAACACTCAAACCATTATACTATTCTGGCTGTCAGAAGTAACAAATGACAACATAAATCATTAGGAACAGCCCACGCTTCCTAAGTCTGGCAAGTACTAGTCTTCTATCTGGATGGTAAACACTAGGCTTGTTTGATCCAAAAAAAATTGGTTCAAAACTTGTTTTGGATGCAGGGGGCGCTAGTGGTTCGGATCCAAAATCAATTCCGATTTTCACAGAAAAAAAAAGTTCAAAACTTTTCAAAACTTTTGAGTCTTTCAAATCCTTTGTTAGTGGTTTCAAAGTGTTATTTCCTGTTTCATTGGGTGATCTCTACTTTGAAAGTAGTTGTTTTATTCCGGAAGCAGGGAAAGGGAGAGAAAAGGGAAGAAATCACGAGAGGGAAAGGAAACGAAGGGAACCCATCCAAACTGGGTTGAACTCCATCTCTCACCCAAGGCTGACTGGGAGGGAAAGGCAACAGAAGGTGTGCTGGTACGGCTGTATCAGGAGCTCCAACTTTATTTGCTTTGTATTAAATGTTTGCTTGCAGTCCAAGGTTTCAGGGACTCTGCAGATAGGTGGCTTCCTTTGGTTGCAGTCATAAGGTAGGCTTCCTGTCCATCATCGTTAAGTTTTGGTCCTGCCCCTTGCTCAGGGCAATTGGGAAGGGAAGGGAGCCATTTTTAGTTAGTCTCAGCAAGGAAAGCTAATGTACAGGACGTGTGCAAGCTTCCCCTGTACAAAAGCTTCAACCCTTAAGACTTCCGGGGGAAACAGTCTTAAGAGAATCCAAAGATTCCCAAAAATTCCCAGGGAAACAAAGAATTTCCAGGAAAACAGCCTTAAAGACCAAAGAACTCCAGCTGGAGAACATCTAAGCCTTTACTGGTAGGTCCACTCGGTGCTTCGAGAAGCAGTTCGACCCAGTAGCGGAGCCCACATCAGTAAAGGTTAGATTACAGTCAGCCTGGGAGAAGTTAAAAAGGAGACTTTCCTTTAAAGTAAAGAAGAAGTTATTGAAGACAGTTGCCTGTCCTTCGTGGGCAAGTTTAGGAAGCTACCAGTTGCATAAAAGCCTGGAATCATTTGTTTAACTTTACTGAAGACAAGAGAAGTTTCTGTTTGATTGTTCATTAATAAAAGACTTTGTTATACTTCACAAGCCATCTAAAGATCATTTGTGGTGGAAAACCTCTGAGAACTTCTCTTTGGGCCCCCTGGCTTCCCGCTGGGCAAAGGTTGCACGTCCTGTTCTAAGGGAAATTCTTTACAGGCCCAGCGCGCGACAGAACAGAAGAGAATTCATCAAAACTGGTTTAAACTGCATCTCTTGCCCAAGACTGACCGAGAGGGAAAAGCAACCAAAGGGAATCCATCCAAACTGCGTTAAACTGCATCTCTCACCCAAGGCTGACCGAGAGGGAAAGGCAACCGAAGGGAATCCATCCAAACTGTTAAATTGCTTCTCTCGCCCAAGGCTGACCAGGAGGGAAAGGAAATTGAAGGGAATCCATCCAAACTGCGTTAAACTGCATCTCTCGCCCAAGGCTGACCAGGAGGGAAAGGAAATTGAAGGGAATCCATCCAAACTGCGTTGAACTGCATTTCTTGCCCAAGGTTGACCGGGAAGGAAAGGAAACTGGAGAGAATCCATCCACACTGGTTTGAAAAGCTGAATCATTTCCGACTCACTCACTCATTTATAAGAGAAGTGGCGGAAAAAGCTTTGGAAGGGCAAAGGGACTTCTGGTTTCCTTAAAAACTTCGAAATCACTTCCAAAAGGAAATCTTTCCGAATTTATTCCGAATTACGAAGATTACGACCAAACTTAACCATGCCTAGTAAACACCTGGCTTGGAAATAACCCATGTGAAAATGACCTGGGAATCTTAGTAGAGCCGAACACTAGGTAGCTAAAAAGATCAGTGTGATTCTAGGCTGCCCAATTGTTTAGGTTATGTGATTTCAGCTGCACTAAAACAGTAGGTTAAAGCAATGGTGTTCCCCATAGTCACCTACGGATGTGAGAGCTGGACCATAGGGAAGGCTGAGCGAAGGAAGATAGATGCTTTTGAACTGTGGTGCTGGAGGAAAGTTCTGAGAGTGCCTTGGACTGCGAGAAGATCACACCAGTCCATGCTTCAGGAAATAAAGCCCGACTGCTCATTGGAGGGAAGGATAGTAGAGGCAAAGATGAAGTACTTTGGCCATATCATGAGTAGAAAGGAAAGCTTAGAGAAGACAATTATGCTGGGGAAAATGGAAGGAAAAAGGAAGAGGGGCCGACCAAGGGCAAGATGGATGGGTGGCATCCTTGAAGTGACTGGACTGACCTTGAAGGAGCTGGGGGTGGTGACGGCCAGGGAGTTCTGACGTGGGCTGGTCCATGAAGTCACGAAGAGTCGGAAACGACTGAACGAATGAACAACAACATAGAACATAGAATCAGAGTGTGGTGGAGGCTCCTTCATGGGCCATCCAGTCCAACCCCCTGCCAAGAAGCAGGAATATTGCATTCAAATCACCCCTGACAGATGACCATCCAGCCTCTGTTTAAAAGTAGGTTAAGGGTTCAGAGTGTCACATTTCCAAAGGACCAAATGAGACACAAAACAGATTGAAGGCAAAATCAGAAGCTTTATTCTCAATGGCCAGAGAAGACGTTAGCAGAAACAGAACTCCAAAGTACTAACATACCGCAATGCAAACATGCAGGAATATTTATAGTTCTTTGACAGCTATTCAAATCTACCATAATGGCCCCTGATTGGCTCAGAAAATGTCCATCTAGGATCTTCTCCCTAATTAGTCCAGGGCTCCATCCAACATCATGGTTGATGGGCTTTGTTGTGGCAGGACCCGTTGGATTATTTTGAAGATTGTGTCTATGTATTGATCCTTTGCAGCAGTCACGCTTGCTTGTTTGCAAGGTTTTACATCATCTTCCTTTCTGACTCCTAGAAATGCCCACAATGACTGAGAAAGTCTTTTGAGGAAAAGTCACAGAGAGCTTTCACTCTCTTTCGTCAACCAAAGAACTGTTGAAAGGTGAACTGCTGCCAGAAGGTAAAGACGAGGGCCCCTTTGTTGCAATGCATCTGCAGCATCCACAAGAGAGGAGAAAATTGGGCAGAATTTGCTTCCATTCTTCAAGGAGAGAGAAAAAAAGGATTACTCAAACAATTATTGTTCAGTCAGCCTCATGTTGATACCAGGCAAGATTCTGGAAAAGATCATTAAGGGAGAGGACTAGGACGCAATGGAACGATGGCTTCAAACTACAAGAAAGGAGATTCCATCTGAACATGAGGAAGAACTTCCTGACTGTGAGAGCCGTTCAGCAGTGGAACTCTCTGCCCCGGAGTGTGGTGGAGGCTCCTTCTTTGGAAGCTTTTGAACAGAGGCTGGATGGCCATCTGCCAGGGGTGATTTGAATGCAATATTCCTGCTTCTTGGCAGGGGGTTGGACTGGATGGCCCATGAGGTCTATTCCAACTCTTTGATTCTATGATTCTATTCTATGATCCTCCATGAGAGCGGTGTGATCAGAAAGGAATACAATCAAGCAAGTGATAATGGGCTTGGTACAATGGTGTCGATCTAAATAAACAATAAACAATGGGTGCTTAGGGAGATAACTGTCTCAATGGGTGTCTCAAGGATTGGGTCTCACTTGGGATGTAGGAGAGGAAATGCTTCCAGGGATAACCCCGATTGTATCAGATGAAACAGGAAAGAGAAACCAGGGGTTCTTACACAAGTCCATTGTGTGTCTCCACCACAAGTCTTCTGGTTCATTGTCAAAGGGTTATGGTAATCTGGGGAATCATTTCCTGCAGTCAGAGACAAAGTGAGGCAACATTAAAAGGAAATTCACGAGAGATCATTACAGGGGAAAATGGAAAAGGCAAATGGGTGTGACAGGCTCCAGTCTCCAGTCCAAAGCACACAGCTTCAACCACAGCCTCCAACCTGGTCAGCAATTCTGCAGGTAAACTGGTCCAGATTAACAAGCCTGATCAGTTGTGGGGCCCATAACCAATTGTTAGAGCTAGCAGAAGAATCACGGAAGCACTGAATAATGGACTCTGGAGTCACCAGTAAAAAGCAGGTTTCAGCTTTATTTGAGCAGTTCATAAATCCAACACACACCATCAGCGAACAGACACGAAGAACACAAAACGAAAGAGATAAGCACTAAACACAAACTGCAGCTGGAAAGGAGCTATCTCTGACACTCCCTAATTCTTCACACAGGAAGAACTCAGGGTCACATTCTCACAGCTCTTTTGTGTAAACATACATCCTGGCAATACAATTCTATTACAGTCTATTACAATCACAATCCTATCACATAAAATTGCATTTAAACATACATCATACATAAATCATACACTGACATGTATGTCCCAATGGAGCCATGTCTCATAATTCATAATTTTGTGGTCTAAATTTTGATAACATCTAGATTCACTCTCTTCTGCTTTGGTTAGACTTCACTTGGAATAATAACCCGGTGTCTAATTCTGGCCAAAGCCATTCAATGAGGGTAAGAACATGATGGAAGGTGTACAGAGAAGGGTGATCAAAGGTGTCCAAGGCCTGGAAACTATGAATCCCACTGAGGAACAGCTTAAAGGCTGATGTCTATTGGTTATATTTGTGAGGGGAAGACATTAGAGTCATGTTTAAATACTTGAAGGGAGGTCACATTAAGTAGGGGGAAAGCTTGTTTTCTGCTTCTCTAAAGACTAGGACACAATGGAGCAATAAATTCAAGCTCCAGGAAAAGAGATTCCACGTGATACAACCTCCTTTAGTGGGGGCTTTCAAATGGAGGCTGAATAACCATCTGCTTGGAGGACTTGGGTGGTATCCTCCTGCATGGCAGAAGGGGGTTGAACTGGATGGCCCTTTGGGTCTCTTCCCATATTCTACGATTCTATCATTCAATTTAAACCTATCTCCACAGGTACAAATGCAGTCAATGACGTTCCTCCACCTCTCCTTTTTTGGCCTCCTGGTCTCCAGCTTCTTCTTAGAAGGTGAGCCACAATAGCTTCCCAGAATATCTCTGCTTCAAGGAAAGATATGAAGAAAGACACGTCCTTTGAGACTGTTTCACAGATTTTGACAGTTTTCTTGATTGAATTGTTTTTGAACTTGTTTTAATGCATTTTTAATTTTTACTGTCTTAACTCCACCTTAGAATTGTCTGGTAGTTGTTTTAGTTGAAGGGCAGGAAATTTGATTTACAATCTGCGTCTAAAGTTAGTACTGAAATGGAAGAAAATTGTCCTTAGTTCCACCATGGTTGATATCACATAAGACATATGATGGCCACCCAGATGGCTGGATGGCCATTTGTTGGGTAGGCTTGGATTATGTATTCCTATATGGCAGTGGTTCTCAACCTGGGGTCCCCAGATGTTTTTTGCCTTCAACTCCCAGAAATTCTAGCAGCTGGTAAACTGCCTAGGATTTCTGGGAGTTGTAGGCCAAAACACCTGGGGACCCACAGGTTGAGAACCACTGCTATATGGCAAAGGGTCAGACTGGATGGTCCTTGGGGTCGCTTCCAACTGTGATTTTATGATACAATTGGCAATAGGATGTGCCTATCAAAAACAAAGGCAGCTGGTAGCTTCCATGTCCGCGGGATATTGAATCCAAAATGGGCTTTATTCAGAACTTGAAATGAGATATCCAAGGGACAAACCTTTTGTAAAGATAGGGTCCTTCGCTATGGATGGATTATGAATTGTATCATAGACCATAAGTCTACTAGGGTTGGTCAATCCAACCCTCTCTTGTGCCTGAAGATACAATTAAAGCAGTCCCAAAATATGTCAGTCCAACTTCTGCTTATAGACCTCATAGGTCCAAAACCTATAGTCATGGATCTATAACTTGCTCCAAATTCATTATGATAACATAATCACGACCCTAGCCCCTTCCCTAGAGGTCTTCAAAAAGAACTTTAAAACCTGGCTCTCCCGCAGCGCCTTTGAAGAGTAGGTATATAATCCCACATGACTGCTCTGACTCAGGGTTCTCTTAGTGGAGTATATGTCCCGTCCCCTCCATGGGAAAGCTTGCTTCCACAAGTCCCGCTGGAATGAGCCCTCCTCCCTAAGTTACCTGCTTCCCTCTTTTATCTCGCCCGACTTTTTAATTAGTTTTAATCAGTTTGTCTTCCTGATTACTACATGTCAGCCACCCATCATTATAGTGCCTGTGCATATATTCATGTGTTTTATTTAACTGTGACATTGTTGTTTATTGTTCACGTTTTCAGTTTGTGTTTTGGTTTTCTTTATGGTAAATGTTGTTTGGGCTTGGCCTCATGTAAGCCGCTCCAAGTCCCCATTGGGGAGATGGTGGCGGGGTAACAAATATTATTATTACTATTATAGCAGTGTTGTCATGTTTACAAATGTCCCCTCGCCCAAGTCCATTTTAGGAGAAGCTGAGAGAGCTGGAGATGTATAGTTTGGAGAAAAGAAGTCTGAGAGAATGGGAACTATGTATAAATCATAGAATCCTAGAATTGGAAGAGACCTCGTGGTCCATCCGGTCCAACACTCTGCCAAGAAGCAGGAAAATCACCTTCAAAGCACCTCTGATATCCATAAACCATCCAGCCTCTGCTTCAAAGCCTCCCAAGAAGGAGCCTCCACCAAACTCTGGGGTAGAGAGTTCCACTGCTGAACAGCTCTCTCACAAGTCAGTAAGTTCTTCCCAATGTTCAGATGGAATCTTCTTTCCTGTAGTTGGAAGCCATTATCTGAGGAAAAGTCACATTGAGGAGAAGAGAGCAAGCTAGTTTTCTGCTGCCCTGGAAAATAGGACTCCACTTCCTTCCAATTCCACTGAAACATTAGGAAGGACTTCCTGAGAGTAAGAGTTGTTCAGCAGTAGTGTCCTTGGTGTCCAATGGAGCTTCCTTCTCTATAGGTCTTAAGCAGAGGTTGACTGGCCATCTGTCGGGAGGGCTTGGGTTGTATTTTCCTGTCTGGCAAAAGGCAGTTTGACTGGGGAACCCTTCCAACTCTGGGATTCTATTATCATTGTGGTTGCTCTTCTCGCATTCTAGTTTATCAATAGTCATCTTGATCTCTCAGAAGTGGACAAAGAACTCCCTTTGAGATCTGATCAATGCAGGATGGCTTCTTTCCAGCAAAACCTGTAGTGGATTCACTATCCCACTGACATGGGAGCCAACAGCCACGGACTGTTCCTTCTCTTCACTTCTTTCCACCAAGTATTAATCTCTGCCAATGTTTTCCTCTCCTTGGACAGGCACTGAAACAGCCAGCTGCCCTGAGTCTTGGTTGGCATACAAGGATAAGTGCCGTGGGCTCTTCACTGAGGAGAAAACCTGGACAGAGGCAGAGGTATGATGCGCCGTCTGTCTGAGTCGGCTTAGGGTGCTGCTACACTGTCAAATTATTGCAGTTTGATGCCACTTTAACTGCTACATCTCAATATTGTGGAATCCTGGGAGTTGTAGTTTGGTGAAGCACTAGACCTCTTTAAGAGAGAAGGCTTAATACCTTCTAAAACCATATGTGTCTCTCTTGGTTGTCTTACGAGGGTTGAATGAAAGTAATGCCTCCGCCTTCATTACTAGGGTTTGGATGGGAATATTTTAATAAATTAAACATAGAAATAATATAGGCAGTGTCAGGCCATTATATGCTAATCAAGGTGGTCAGTTGAAACATTCACACCTAGCTCCAGCAGACAAGAGTCCTTTGTCCCACCCTGGTCATTCCACAGATATATAAACCCTTTTTCCTAGTTCCAACAGACCTCACTACCTCTGAGGATGCTTGCCATAGATGCAGGCGAAACGTCAGGAGAGAATGCCTCTAGACCATGGCCATATAGCCCGAAAAAACCTACAACAACCCATAGAAATAATCCTTAGAATGCACTCTTTAACTACCACTATTCACTTTTCCACATAATCACCAGATAATTAGCTACATTTCTGCCAACAATGAACAAGTTTTCTGAAGCCGTCACAGAAGAAATCAACACTCTGTTTCCACAACCAGTGTCTCACAGTTCTCTCATCCTGGGTACCCATTGTGCACAGATCTTCCAATAGCCAAGCAAAGCAATAATGTGACCTACACGTTCTTGTGAAATGCTGATTATGCTTGAAATTTCTCTCTGAGTGATACGACAATCATGCTGAATCAATATGTCAACCTTTTGCTTGTGAAACGCAGTGGTTGCTGTCACAGGACGTCCAACTCTTTGTTTGTCACGCAAGTCAGATGTTCCCACCTCAACATCTTTAAACTTACTCACCCAACGAGGCACAGTACTCACATCAACACAATCCCCATAAACAGCTTGCATTCTTTGATGAATCTCCTTTGGAGTGACACCTTCTGCTGTCAAGAATTCAATGACTGCACGTTGCTTAAGTTGCATTGACCGACCGTCTGTGCAGGGTTCCATACTTCGCACTTTAACAACACAACCATTCAATGCTAAGGCTTCCTGCCAAAATGGAACTGTAGAGGAGAGTCTACTGAACAAGCCAGTATCTGCCACATGCCAGTACTCCCATCTGTTGAGGAGTTACAAAGGCGGAGGTATTACTTTTCATTCAACCCTCGTATAAGCCTTATTTTTACTAATCAGAATCCAGGTATTTCTTGGTGGGCCTAGTTACTTTATCTTTACTGGTTAGAATCATTGGTGTCCAATTCTCATCTCATGGGATCTCAGGGGGACATCCAATAAAATCGGTTTACCAAATGTCCATCTCAGGACATCAATTCCTTTTGAGGTGTGATGCTGCAGAAGTGTTCTGTGGACACCTTGGACAGCTACGTTGTCTTTTCTCTGTAATAGGATTTTTAGGGGGCTAAAAAAATAGCTGGTGTTTGGAGCAGCCAGTTGCTGGCAGCAACGTCTTTGTTGGAGCTCTAGCCTTGAGACTTTGGGTCATTCCTTGGACCTTGTGTAATGGACTGTATCTGGGAATTTGGTTTGTATTTCAGATTCTACCTCAGACTGTGTTTGTTGGGATATCCTGACTTTGGAGCTTTGAAACATACTCACCATTTCCTCTATTGCTTATCCCTTGATTTGATGACTGACTGCTGATTTGACCCTGGGCTGACTCTGGACTACTCTTGTGGTGTTTGCTGATCACTACAGAGGGAATCTTAGGAGAAACCTGACAGAAGCTATGATCCTCCACCATCCACTTTGCCATGTTGTCCGAAAGCCCAAAGGTTTCTGTCCTGGGCCCAGTCCTGTTCAACATCTTTATTAATGACTTGGATGAAGGGCTAGAAGGCAGGATCATCAAGCTTGCAGACAACACCAAATTGGGAGGGAGAGCCAAGACTCCAGAGGACAGGAGCAGGACTCAAAACGATCTTGACAGATTAGAGAGATGAATGGCCAAAACCAAAAAATTGAAGTTCTACAGGGACAAATGCAAGAGACTCCACTTGAGCGAAAAAAACGAAATGCAAAGAGACAGAATGGGGGACGATGAGGCCTGGCTCGAGAGCAGTACGTGTGAAAAAGATCTTGGAGTCCTCGTGGACAACAAGTTAAACATGAGCCAACAATGTGATGTGGCGGCAAAAAAAGCCAATTGGATTTTGGCCTGCATCAAGAGGAGCATAGTGTCTAGGACCAGGGAAGTCATGCTACCCATGCTCTATTCTGCTTTGGTTAGACCACACCTGGAATATTGTGTCCAATTCTGGGCACCACAATTAGAGAGATATTGAGAAGGGAATATGTCGTAGGGAGGGTGACTAAATGATCAACGGTCTGGAGAACAAGCCCTATGAGGAGCGGCTTAAGGAGCTGGGCATGTTTAGCTTGAAGAAGAGAAGGCTGAGAGGAGATATGATAGCCATGTATAAATATGTGAGAGGAAGCCACAGGGAGGAGGGAGCAAGCTTGTTTTCTGCTTCCTTGGAGACTAGGACGCGGAACAATGGCTTCAAACTACAAGAGAGGAGATTCCATCTGAACATGACTGTGAGAGCCGTTCAGCAGTGTGGTGGAGGCTCCTTCTTTGGAAGCTTTTAAACAGAGGCTGGATGGCCATCTGTCAGGGGTGATTTGAATGCAACATTCCTGCTTCTTGGCAGAACGGGGTTGGACTGGATGGCCCAGGAGGTCTCTTTGATTCTATGATTCTATGAAAGATCACCATCTCCCAAAGCAGTTACTTTACTCTCAGCTCAAGAACGGAAAAGAAAATGTTGGTGGACAGCAAAAGACATTTAAAGACAGTCTTAAAGCTAACCTTTAAAAATGTGGAATAAACGTCAAGAGAGAACTGGAAATCCCTGCCCCTGAGCATCTAACTGTAGGTTAGCTTTGATCAATAGCTCTGTAGATTTTGCAGAGACACGAATAGAAGGTGCAAGGGAGAAATGGGCCAAGAGAAAGAGGGTGACTCCATCTGGAAATATATGTCTTCACTGCGAAAAACCATGCAGATCCAGAGTAGGTCTCCACAATCACTTACAGACCCACCACGAAGACTCTGCCCTTGGAAAACAGTCAGAGTCATGGACCATGAATTGATGACGATGCACTGCTATAATTCTGCAGTAAGGACGCACTGGGAAGAAAGGTACGAATAATGCTTAAAGATCAGGGTTACATTGATGCACGTCCTCAGCATCTGCACTAAATATTGCACTCTGTAATGAACTGTCGCTTGGCAGAGTTTTTAATCACATTACAATAGGAGGAAAGAGGACCTTCGGAAAGTCCTCCCACCCCACCCCGACCTGTTTTCTTTCAAGCCTTTCCATTGAAGACATTCACCAAAGTTTTCCCCTTTGTGCCCCTGTTTGACCACAAGAGGAAAACCTGGATTAAGTAGTCATCAATGTTTATCTCAGATCAACCATGACACAATAGACAGGTTTCGCTTGAAGGCCATTTAGGACTCGCTGAGCCACATGGACATTTCCTGAGTTCCATAATCCATTCAAGAATGCATTGTATTCCCTTGTCCCACCTCCCTCCCTCCTGATTCGTCGACGCGCCAAGGCGGCAGAAGCCTTGTGATTGGCCCAGGCGCTCGAGGGGCAGACAAGCCTCCTCCCAGTGGGCACCAGCCATCACCTTCAAGCCAGGCGGGGGAGGGGGGGCGGGGAGTGGGAAATTCAAACCACACACTCTGTTTTTTCTATAAAAATGGCATTTATTTGTGTACATGTATGCTTAGCTTGGCGAATGATTGCTGCTTTGCATCCTTTTCAACTGAATCGCGAATAAATCATCTCGGTGGCACTTTCTTCTGTCAGAGTGAGACCCTCCGGTCTGGCACAGCGAACTTGAGGTTTCCAAAACACACAGACTCAATTACCACACAGCATTCTTCTTCGGTTTCAAAATAATAAGCTTTACTGGAAGCATCTATTTACAGGCGACTACATGTTGATGAGGAAAGATGGCGACTGACAAAGTACAGGACTAAACACACAGACAAAGAAACATCTGCTTTCCTGTCTTATCTATCTTGTAGCTGGTTGACTCCCTTTTGTTCTCCGGGCAAAAGAATTTCTGTTATCTCAGTCTCAAGGACTTTACTCTCACTGCCTCTAGTAACTACAATTCTAGCACACAGCTGAAAATAACTGAATCAATCATTAAATCCATCTTGGAATACATATGAATACACATTATTAACACATTGAAAAACATACATATTATATTTGCAATTATCCCGAGGATGTGGACAAGATACTTGGAGGACTGAGGCCCACCACGTCCATCCTAGACCCCTGCCCATCCTGGCTTCTGAAGGAGGCCAGAGGGGGATTGGCTGAGTGGGTAACGGTGGTGGTTAATGCCTCCCTTCGGGAAGGCAAGATTCCAGCCAGCTTAAAACAAGCTGTCATCAAACCGCTGTTGAAAAAACCATCACTAGACCCCACTCAATTCGTCAACTTTTGGCCAGTTTCCAATCTCCCCTACTTGGGCAAAGTCCTGGAACGTGTGGTGGCCTCGCAACTCCAGGAATTCCTGGTGGACACGGACTATCTAGATCCGTCACAGTCTGGCTTTAGGCCGGGACATGGTACTGAGACAGCCTTGGTCGCCTTAGTTGATGATCTGCGCTGGGAACTGGACAGGGGGAGTGTGTCCCTGTTGGTTCTGCTGGACCTCTCTTCGGCCTTCGATACCGTCGACCACGGTATCCTTCTGGGACGCCTCATGGGAATGGGCCTTGGTGGCACTGTTTTGCAGTGGCTTGGGTCCTTCTTAGAGGATCGCACTCAGAAGGTGTTGTTGGGGGACAACTGCTCGACCTCACAACCATTGTCTTGTGGGGTCCCGCAGGGCTCTATACTGTCCCCCATGTTGTTTAACATCTACATGAAGCTGCTGGGGGAGATCATCCGGAGTTTCGGGGTGCGGTGTTATCTGTACGCAGATGACGTCCAACTCTGTCACTCCTTTCCACCTACTACTAAGGAGGCTGTTCAGGTCCTGAACCGGTGCTTGGCCGCTGTGATCGGACTGGATGAGGGCGAACAAATTGAAATTGAATCCAGACAAGACAGAGGTACTCCTGGTCAGTCGCAAGCCCGAACAGGGCATAGGGTTACAGCCTGTGCTGGATGGGGTTACACTCCCCTTGAAGGCGCAGGTTCGCAGCTTGGGTGTGACCCTGGATTCATCGCTGAGCCTGGAGCCCCAGGTCTCGGCGGTGGCCAGGGGAGCATTTGCACAGCTTCGGCTCGTGCGCCAGCTGCGCCCGTACCTCGGGAAGTCTGACTTGGCCACGGTAGTCCACGCTCTGGTCACATCCCGCATAGATTACTGCAACGCGCTCTACGTGGGGCTGCCCTTGAAGACTGCCCGGAAGCTTCAGATGGTCCAGCATTCGGCAGCCAGGTTGCTAACAGGAGCGGCACTCAGGGAGCACACCACTCCTCTGTTGAGCCAGCTCCACTGGCTGCCAATCTGCTACCGGGCACAATTCAAGGTGCTGGCGCTAGCCTACAAAGCCCTAAATGGTTCCGGCCCCACTTACCTCTCCGAACGCATCTCCACCTATGAACTGTCACGAACACTAAGATCTTCCGGGGAGGCCCTGCTCTCGGTCCCGCCTGCGTCACAGGCACGGTTGGCGGGGACGAGAGATAGGGCCTTCTCGGTGGTGGCCCCTCGGCTATGGAATGCCCTACCCACTGACATCAGACAGGCCCCTTCGCTGCTGGCGTTTCGGAAGAAGGTTAAAACCTGGCCCTTTGAGCAAGCGTTTGGATAATCAGCGCAATCAAACATAGGAAGACGGTAAATTGAACATAGGAATGGCACAAGGATTACGAGAATGGATTTTGTTTTGTTATCGAGGCATTATGTAGTGATAATAATTGTGTATTTTGTTATTGTGTATGATATGTTTTTTAACTGTTAGTGTTGTGATAATTACATTGTGTAAACCGCATTGAGTCGCCTAACAAGGTTGAGAAACGCGGTATAGAAATGAAGCAAATAAATAAATAAATAAATAAAATTATCCTGACATCTTCAACTTTGGTGAGATTCTTTTTGGGAACTTAGGGAAAATAAATTGCTTAAAATTAGGCTTCTCTTTGCTCACCAATGTAGCAATCCCTCTTTGGTGGGGTCACAGGGTCTCTCTTCCTGGGGTAGACCCTTCAAAAGTTCTTATCGACTTCAATATGAGTACAGACCGTCAAAGGAATGCTATCTTACAATGTATTAAATTTTCAACCCATGATAGCCAATCTAGAAAATACACTTTTCCCTTCTTCTCCAGGTTGCATGCCAGCGGTATGGCCAGAATGGCCACCTGGCCTCCTTTCTCTCAGCGCAAGAAAATACCATGGTGGCTCAGTTCATTGCTGCCAACTATCCAGGGATAGAAGGTGTCTGGATTGGATTTCATGACCCCAAAAAGGTAAGAGCTCTGCCCTTCATTCCTGCTTGTCCCAACGTCATGGCCTGAGGTTGCAGAAGCCAAGCTGCAGGAGTGTTGTCACATGCATGGTGCTGATGTGCCCTCAGATTTGCTATATACATCAATTGGGTCAGGTTGCCCCTTACCTGCCTTGTTCAGTGGTGCAGCATTGCCATTTGAGACAAGGCTCCAATAATGGGCAACTATGCATGCAGAAATGCACACTACACAATATTATTATTATTATTATTATTATTATTATTATTATTATTATTATTATTATTATTGGGTTGTTGTAGGTTTTTTTGGGCTATATGGCCATGGTCTAGAGGCATTCTCTCCTGACGTTTCGCCTGCATCTATGGCAAGCATCCTCAGAGGTAGTGAGGTCTGTTGGAACTAGGAAAAAGGGTTTATATATCTGTGAAAAGACCAGGGTGGGACAAAGGACTCTTGTCTGCTGGAGCTAGGTGTGAATGTTTTAACTGACCACCTTGATTAGCATTGCCTGGAGAAATCTTTTGTTTAGAGGTGATTAGATGTCCTTGTTTGTTTCCTCTCTGTTGTTGTGCTGTTCTAATTTTAGAGGTTTTTTTAATACTGGTAGCCAGATTTTGTTCATTTTCATGGTTTCCTCCTTTCTGTTGAAATTGTCCACATGCTTGTGGATTTCAATGGCTTCTCTGTGTAGCCTGACATGGTGGTTGTGAGAGTGGTCCAGCATTTCTGTGTTCTCAAAAATAACAGTCAGTTAAAACATTCACACCTAGCTCCAGCAGACAAGAGTTCTTTGCCCCACCCTGGTCTTTCCACAGATATATACACCCATTTTCCTAGTTCCAACAGACCTCACTACCTCTGAAGGTGCTTGCCATAGATGCAGGCGAAACGTCAGGAGAGAATGCCTCTAGAACATGGCCATATAGCCCAAAAAAAACGTACAACAACCCAGTGATTCCGGCCATGAAAGCTCCGACAATACATTATTATTATTATTATTATTATTATTATTATTATTATTATTATTATTTTACTGACACAAAAACACAGTAGGTCACAGCAAACGAGATCTCGGTGCTGGATTTCGTATCACAAAATCCCAAGTCGAACACTTCCCAAGTGTCTAGGACTGTGTGATGTATTTCCGAATGATGCGCGCAGATCCAAGTCAGGCAGCCTTTTGCAGTTGACAGATTGTGGTTTTGTCAATGTTTATTGTTTCCAAATGCCGGCTGAGGTCTTTTGGCATGGCACCCAGTTATTATTAATAACTGTTAAAATTAATAATTAATAAGTTATTATTATTATTTTACTGACACAAAAACACAGTATGTCACAGCAAACGAGATCTATATGCTGGATTTCATATCACAAAATCACAAGTTGAATACTTCCCAAGTGTCTAGGACTGTGTGATGTATTATTATTATTGTTTAGCATCTCATTCAATGCATGGTTTTACTATTTCATTATCATTTAATGTGGCTGCTGTCTCCAGAATTATGGTCACAGTTACAAATGCATAACCTCAAGTTACACTGTCATGACTAGTCTGTCAGAATTATTGAAAGTATGCATGTATGTTTTTTCAATGTGCTTCAATATGATTAACAATGGTGTTCATATGTATTCAAGATGGATTCAGTTATGTTCAATTGTATGCTGGAATTGTTGTTGTGAGAGACAGAGAGGTACAGAGAGAAGAGACCTTGGCAGAAGTAAGATAACAAGTTCTCTCTGTCTGGGAAGAATTAGGGAGTAGCCGGTTTACAGCCAAAGTGAAACTGATAAGCACATGTTCTGTAACTGTATTGTAGCTGTGCTTTGTAGTCCGTGATTAAACTTGCTTGGAAGTAGACGTGCATTAAGATGTGCTCAGTAAACTTTGTTATTTTTAAGACTGGCAGATTGCAGTGTCCTGTTTTGTGTCTGTGTGATCTAGTAACCTCATCTCCGCTGTGTATAGACCCCAGGGTTTCACTTTGAAATAGTCTATACTCCCAACCCATGTATACTCACTAGAGAGCTAGTCATTGGACTAGGGGTGCAGCTACACTGTAGAGACAATGCGATTTGACACCATTTTTATTGCTATGGAATCATAGGAATTTTAATTTCAGGAACCGCCAGTACTCTTGGTCAGAGAAGGCAAAACATCTTTGTAAAATTATGTTCAGTTAGGCAATCCCTCATAGTCCGAGGATGGTGGTCCTCCAACTGTAGTACCTGGCGGTGGGTCCGTAGGTGACTGTGGAGCCCTATTCTTGATCTACATCTTCTCCCACAGTGAGGGCATTGGTTTCCAGGTGGAAGGTGGTCCCGGTTGCGGTTGGCTTGATGTGCCTTCCTCTTGACACGTTTCTCTCTTTTGCCTTCCATTCGTGCCTCTTCAAATTCTGCAGCACTGCTGGTCACAGCTGACCTCCAACTGGAGAGCTCAAGGGCCAGTATTTCCCAGTTCTTGGTGTCAATGCCACAGTTTTTAAGGCTGGCTTTGATCCCATCTTTAAATCTCTTTTCCTGCCCTCCAACATTCTTTTTTTCATTCTTGAGTTTGGAGTAGAGCAACTGGTTTGGGAGATGGTGGTCGGGCATCCAGACAACGTGGTCAGTCCAGCAGAGTTAATGGCGGAGGACCATCACTTCAATGCTGGTGGTCTTTGCTTCTTCCAGCACGGTGACGTTTGTCCGCTTGTCTTTCCAAGAGATTTGCAGGATTTTCCGGAAGCAGCGCTGATGGAATCATTCCAAGAGTTGCATGTGACATCTGTAGATAGTCCACGTCTCGAAGGCGTATAGCAGGGTTGGGAGGACAATAGCTTTATAAACAAGCCCCTTGGTCTCCCTACCGATGTCCCAGTTCTCAAACACTCTCTGCTCCATTCGGGATAATGCTGCACTCGCAGAGTTCAGGCAGTGTTGAATTTCAGTGTCAGTAAAATTATGTACAGTTTCCATGATTCCATAGCATTGCACGATGGCAGTTAAAGTGGTGTTGAACTGCATTCATTCTGCAGTGAAGATGTGCCTTGTGGCTCTAACGACCAGGGTTTGAGTCTCTGTCAGGTCACGAAAACCCAGTGGAGGAGTCTACCCAAGTCACACATTCACAGCATCCAAGGAAAGCAAGGCCAACCCTTCCTTTGGACAAACGTTACCAACAAACCTCCACGGTAGCTTTGCTTTAGGATCATCATAAGTTGGATCCGAAGTCAGAATTGAAGGAATTGGTTTCCATAGCCATGAAATGCATAGAACTGTAGGTGATGATGATGATGATGATGATTTGGCTCTCTTGATACGAATGTCATTGCAGAATGGAAGATGGAAATGGACAGATTTAGCAACCACCAACTTCAGGCCATGGAAAATTGGAGAGCGTATAGAGGCACCCAGTGAGAAAGCTTGCGTCTATATGGTAGGCTCAGAAGGTGAGGCCCAGCTTGGCTCATCCAAGTCAATAGTAAGGTTTTTGCAAAACATTGGATCCTTCTGCAACAACTCACACTGGTAGCATGGGTGGGGAAGATTGTCCCCAAATCTCTAGCAAGTGCAAATTTTATTTGTAGGTTCCCAGTATTTATTTATTTATCGTGTCATCAGCAACCAGACATTTGTATTACATTTTTAACAAAAGCAAACAAACAAACAGACAAAACACAGAATCTGCAAGCTTGGTAGTTGATTAAATGTCCTTTGACCAGTATCTGGCCCCTTGGAGTGCCCCTGGTGTTGCCGCAAGAAGGTCCTCCATTGTGCATGTGGCTGGGCTCAGGTGCATTGCAGCAGGTGGTCAGTGGTTTGCTCCTCTCCACGCTTGCATGTCGAGGATTCCACTTTGTGACCCCATTTCTTGAGGTTGGCTCTGCATCTCGTGGTGCCAGAGCGCAGTCTGTTCAGCGCCTTCCAAGTCACCCAGTCCTCTGTGTGCCCAGGGGGGAGTCCCTCATTTGGTATCAGCCATTGTTTGAGCCTGCCACTTTTGGACTCTCACTTGCTGGGGTGTTCCAGCGAGTGTCTCTGTAGATCTTAGAAAACTATTTCTTGATTTAAGTCATTGATGTGCTGGCTGATACCCAAACAAGGGATGAGCTGGAGATGTCTCTGCCTTGGTCCTTTCACTATTGGCTGCTACTTCCCGGCGGATGTCAGGTGGTGCAATACTGGCTAAGCAGTGTAATTTCTCCAGTGGTGTAAGGCGCAGACACCCCGTGATAATGCGGCATGTCTCATTAAGAGCCACATCCACTGTTTTAGTGTGGTGAGATGTGTTCCACACTGGGCATGCGTACTCAGCAGCAGAGTAGCATAGCGCAAGGGCAGATGTCTTCACTGTGTCTGGTTGTGATCCCCAGCTTCTTATACTGATGTTCAGGCAGTGCTTCTTGTAGGTCAGAGCATGGTCCAGAGTGACTCCCAGGTATTTGGGTGCACTGCAATGCTCCAGGGGGATTCCTTCCCAGGTGATCCTCAGAGCTCGGGATGCTTCTCTGTTCTTGAGGTGAAAAGCACACGTCTGTGTTTTAGATGGATTACAGATCAGCTGGTTTTCCCTGTAATAGGCAGTAAGAGCACCTAGAGCTTTGGAGAGCTTCTATTCAACCATCTCAAAGCTCCCTGCTTGAGCAGTAATGGCACGATCATCAGCATAGTTGAAGCTCTCTGTCCCTTCTGGCAGTGGCTGGTCATTTGTGTAGATGTTCCCAATATGACCAATTGGGACATGAGTTGAGATTGGCCAGTAGGATATAGATGATGAAGCAGAGCCTTCAGAAATAAAGGATAAGGTGGGTAAACCCATTCAAAGGGCCACCTGGTCCAACCCATTTCTGCCAGGCAGGGATCCACAATGGAAGCACTACCAACGGATGGCTATCCAGACTTTGTTCAAAAACTTTAGCTCGTAAATATCCCCAACTCCTTACACTGCTTCTCAGAGGGATTAATAGTTTCCAGACCTTTGGCCATTTGGGTTAAAACTCTCTAAATACCTTCTGGCTTGTCCATATCCCCCTTGAATGCTGCCCAGAAGTGGATACAGAGTTATTCCAGGTCAGCAAAGCAGAATAGAGCCAGACTATGGCTTCCCTCCATCTAGACACTGGACTCCTATGGATAGAGCATCCTATAGCTTCCCACTTTGGTGCAAGGGAGCTAACCCTGCATTGGAAAGGACTTGTTTTTAAGAAATGATGCAGTTGGGGAAATGGACTATCTCTTGACACGGTTTCCCCCTTCCTTTTCAGGTTTCAAGGGATGGATGAACGATGATTGCCAAGTCAAGAGGCCCTACGTCTGTAAGATGGGGTAGAAAGAGCGGACAGTCAGCTCGCCAATAAGAGTGTTGCATGCCTCCTTTGCCCCCTTGTTCTCAATAAAGATCGTCATAACAGCATTTCATCACACTCACTCATTCACATGTGCAGAAGGGGGTGAATTGTGGAGTTCCTCGGGGTTCTATACTGTCCCCCATGTTGTTCAACATATACATGAAGCCGATGGGGGAGATCATCAGGAGTTTCGGGGTACGGTGCCATCTGTACGCGGATGACGTCCAACTCTGTCACTTCTTCCCACCTGCTACTAAGGAGGCTGTTCAGGTCCTGAACCGGTGTTTGGCTGCTGTGACAATCTGGATGAGGGCTAACAAATTGAAATTGAATCCAGACAAGACAGAGGTCCTCCTGGTCAGTCGAAAGACTGAACAGGGCATAGGGTTACAGCCTGTGTTGGACGGGGTTGCATTCCCCCTAAAGACGCAGGTTCGCAGTCTGGGTGTGATCCTGGACTCATCGCTGAGCCTGGAACCCCAGGTCTCGGCGGTGACCAGGGGAGCATTCGCACAGTTAAACCTTGTGCGCCAGCTGCGTCCGTACCTTGGAAAGTCTGACTTGGCCACGGTAGTCCACGCTCTTGTTACATCCCATATAGACTACTGCAACGCTCTCTACATGGGGTTGCCTTTGAAAACTGTCCAGAAGCTTCAACTAGTCCAACGGACAGCAGCCAGATTGCTAACTGGAGCGGCTCTGAGGGAGCATACAACCTCCTTGTTGGGCCAGCTCCACTGGCTGCCAGTTCACTACTGGGCACAATTAAAAGTGCTGGTTCTAGCCTATAAAGTGTCAGAGTGAGGCCCGCTGGGGTCTTTGCACAGCGGACTTGAGGTTACCAGATCACACAGACGCAAATAAGACACTGCAGTATCTTCGGTTTTAAAAATAACAAAGTTTACTGAAAGCATTTTAAGACACGTCTACATTTTGATGGCGAAAAATGGCGACTCACAAAGTACAGCACTGTGAAGGAGTCCGTTAAACTGCTGCCACCAATTGTAAAGAAGACCGTATTAATGCCACCGAATGCCACCAATTGTGAAGGTGTGTGTGGTAAAGCACCCACTGCCACCTTATTTATGAGGGAAGCCGGGCAACGATCAATATCAGCCTAGGAACTATTTTATAAAGGGATTGTTTCTGGCTGACTTTATTATTGCAGGCTGTTCAACTTAGAAGAAACTGTATCAGGCAAGGCTTGAGGAAAACAGTAACAAGTTTATTTTAACAGGAGTATAACAATGTATAACTGTTCTTCAAAAGAGGCACAAATCTTGATGGATACATTGGAAAGGTTTCATGAGTAAACTCAGGCAAACACTTCATAAGGTTTCACAGCTGGCACAACAGGCTTAAACCCAGCCAAACCTTGATTCTTAATTTAGAATCAACAACCCCCTGTACCGGGTCCTTCTCTGCAACCACTTTGGTCACCAATTGATTCCCTGAATCTCCAAGAGATTCAGTTTTTCCCTATAGCACACTGGCTACAGACACATTCCCTGAATCTCCACCAAAAGATTCAGTGTCTTCTCAGTAGCTCTCCGGCCACTGACTTCCCTATTTCTCCCACTAGAGAAATTAGTCTCTTCCTGTAGCTCACCGGCTACAGACTACATTCCCTGAATCTCCACCCTGAGACTCAGTGTTCTCTCAGCAGCTCTCCAGCCACTGACACATTCCCTGAATCTCCACTAAAAGATTCAGTGTCCTCTCAGTAGCTCTCCGGCCACTGACTGACTTTTTAAAACACAGATGCCTCCTGAAGAGGCGGTTGGCTCCGCCCCTGTTGCTATGGCAACTCAGCTAACGCCAAGCCACTCCCACAAAACATAACCTCCCATACTTACCATCCCTAAACCATTGTCCAAACTACACATAACCAAAGGAATAAAATTTACACATCGTCACAAGCACAAAACACAAAGAACATCTGCCCTCCTGCCTTATCTGTCTTCTAGCTGGTATACTCCCTTTTCTTCCCAAAGCAAAGGAATTCCTGTTATCTCGTTTCAAGGACTCTACTCTCTGGCCTTATTCTCTCTCTCTTATAATAACAATCTAATGCACAAATGAACAAAACTGAACATAACTGAATCCATTTTGAAATACATATGAATCCATTATTAACACATTGAAAAACATACATATAATACTTCCAATTATCCTGACATAAAGCCCTAAACGGTTCTGGCCCAACTTACCTGTCCGAACGTATCTCCCCTTATGAACCATCTAGGACCTTGAGATCATCCGGAGAGGCTCTGCTCTCGGCCCCACCCTCGTCCCAGGTACATTTGGCAGGGACGAGAGACAGGGCCTCCTCAGCGGTGGCCCCCCAGCTATGGAACGCCCTCCCCAGGGAGATTAGATCTTAACGTTTCGGAAGCAACTCAAAATGTGGCTGTTTGAGCAAGCGTTCACAAACACAGAGTAACGGATACAGATAACTGATATAGGAACTCATGACTGACGATGGAACTGGACAATGCTTGACAATAAGGAGACGCCAATGATGTTGTTTTTATTGTTGTGTGATTTATGTAATTTTAATGTTTTAAATTGTATTGTGATACTATGTATACTGTTTTCATAGAATCATAGAATCAAAGAGTTGGAAGAGACCTCATGGGCCATCCAGTCCAACCCCATTCTGCCAAGAAGCAGGAATATTGCATTTAAATCACCCCTGACAGATGGCCATCCAGCCTCTGTTTAAAAGCTTCCAAAGGAGGAGCCTCCACCACACTTCGGGGCAGAGAGTTCCACTGCTGAACGGCTCTCACAGTCAGGAAGTTCTTCCTCAATCCAATGCTTATTCGAACAGCCAGGTCTTCACTTTCCTCCAAAACGCCAACAGGGAGGGGGCCGATCTGATATCTGTAGGAAGGGCGTTCCATAGCAGAGGGGCCACCACTGAGAAGGCCCCGTCTCTCATCCCCACCAGGCTTTTCTGTTTTGACTAATCTCCCCCCCATCTATCTATTTGCTCATTAATTTCTGCACCTGGTGTCGAGCTGTTTTCTCCATTATGTGTTCTTCAGTTCCAATGGGACCGCTTTGCTCTCTGCACAAGTTGGTGGCCTTTAAAAACACATAAAATTGGCTTTGGCTCTCCAGGACATCACGAACTTCACCTGAAGCGTTAGTACCGATGCGGAGATAACAGTGAAACAGTGACTAGGTAGGCAATGAAGTTGAGAGTTTCCCCCGAAATGGCACAAATTCAGAATACAGTATTCTTAAGGTACAGAATGTACCTCTACAGCTGATTTAGTTTGGATTCTTTTGAAATCCAGGATTTAGTGATCTTGAAAAGAAGAGGAGGAGAAAGCATTGAGGGTGCATTTACACTATGGAATTAATGCAGTTTGAAACCACTCTTAATTGCTACGGCTTAATGCTACAGAATCATAGAATCAAAGAGTTGGAAGAGACCTCATGGGCCATCCAGTCCAACCCCATTCTGCCAAGAAGCAGGAATATTGCATTCAAATCACCCCTGAGAATCCTGGGAGTTGTAGTTCAGCGAGGCACCCGCACTCTTTGGCAGAGACATCGAAAGACCTTTGAAAACTACGACTCTCAGGGTTCCATAGAATTGAGACATGGCAGTTCAAGTGGTACCAAATGGCATTAATTCTGCAATGTAGATGCCCGCTCAGAAGTCAAGAGGTTAACATGGAGGAGGCAGGTAAACACTCATTCTCTCTGAGGGAAAGCTATAAAAAGAACTGAGGAGGCATAATGAGTTACATTAGGAGAAGAAGACTGTGCCGGCTTCAAGGTACGTGCAATACTTTACTCAAAAGGCATCAATGGAATGGCACACTTGGATCTACCGGACTCCCACTTGTTGCACCTGGATTTCTGGATTTCAAGGGCTGGGACGTTCTTGTCATTTATGGCACATGGAGACCTCAAGGCACAAGTTTTGTTGTGTTTTCTTGGCAAGGTTTCATCCAAAGATGTTTCTCTTTGGGGCTGAGGGTGCACCCACATTGCAGAATTAATGCAGTCTGGGACAAAGGTCAGTCTACGAATCCCAGGATTCTATAGCATTGAGCCATGGCAGTCAAAGTGATGCCAAACTGCATTCATAGAATCATAGAATCCTAGAATCAAAGAGTTGGAAGAGACCTCCTGGGCCATCATCCAGTCCAACCCCATTCTGCCAAGAAGCAGGAATATTGCATTCAAATCACCCCTGACAGATGGCCATCCAGCCTCTGTTTAAAAGCTTCCAAAGAAGGAGCCTCCACCACACTCCGGGGCAGAGAGTTCCACTGCTGAACGGCTCTCACAGTCAGGAAGTTTTTCCTCGTGTTCAGATGGAATCTCCTCTCTTGTAGTTTGAAGCCATTGTTCCATTGCGTCCTAGTCTCCAAGGAAGCAGAAAACAAGCTTGCTCCCTCCTCCCTGTGGCTTCCTCTCACATATTGATACATGGCTATCATATCTCCTCTCAGCCTTCTCTTCTTCAGGCTAAACATGCCCAGCTCCTTAAGCCGCTCCTCATAGGGCTTGTTCTCCAGACACTTGATCATTTGAGTTGCCCTCCTCTGGACACATTCCAGCTTGTCAATATCTCTCTTGAATTGTGTTCCCGGAATTGGACACAATATTCCAGGTGTGGTCTAACCAGAGCAGAATAGAGCATGGGGAGCATGACTTCCCTAGATCTAGACACTAGGCCAGTGATGGGCAATCTTTTGAGCTTGGTGTGTCAAAATTTGCTAAAAACCTGAGCATAACCTGGGTAGAGTGTCACTTTGAGAGAGAAAAAAACCATATTTTTGCAATATTTATAGTTTAAATAAGAAAAACGTATAATCCATGCTGAGTTATGGAGTGAACAAGGCTCAGACATGCAGATGTTAAATTTGTAGAGCTTTTTACAGATTTAAGGATGGAATTAGATTGGCTCTTATAAGGTGTATTTCTCTGTATGTGGCCACATGTTTCTGTGTGTCATCAAAAATAGCCATGCGTGTCAGTGCTGACACGTGTGTCATAGGTTCACCATCACGGCACTAGGCTCCTCTTGATGCAGGCCAAAATCCCATTGGCTTTTTTTGCCGCCACATCACATTGTTGGCTCATGTTTAACTTGTTGTCCACGAGGACTCCAAGATCTTTTTCACATTCATTCAACAGTGTAGAGATACCCATGGAAAATTAGGCACAAAAGAACCAAAGAAGTGTATAGTATACCCTTAAATACCAAAATGAGAATTCTCCATACTATAGGGTTTCCATTTATAGCAGTGTTTCTCAACCTGGGGGTCGCGACCCCTGGGGGGGTCGCGATGGGGTGTGGGAGGGGTCGCCAAAGACCATCAGGATACACAGTATTTTCTGCTGGTCAAGGGAGTTCTGTGTGGGAAGTCTGGCCCAATTCTATCGTTGGTGGGGTTCAGAATGCTCTATGATTGTAGGTGAACTATAAATCCCAGCAACTACAACTCCCAAATGTCAGGATTCTATTTTCTCCAAACTCCATCAGTGTTCACATTTGAGCATATTGAGTATTCGTGTAGAGTTTGGTCCAGATCCATCATTGTTTGAGTCCACAGTGATCTCTGGATGTAGGTGAACTACAACTCCAAAACCAAAGGACACTGCCCACCAAACCCTTCCAGTATTTTTTATTAGTCATGGGAGAACTGTGTGCCAAGTTTGGTTCAATTCCATCATTGGTGGGGTTCAGAAGCTCTTTGATTGTAGGTGAACTATAAATCCCAGAAACAACAACTCCCAAATGACAAAATCAATTTTTTGAGTGAAGGACATGCATTGGGTTGTTAGGTGTCTTGTGTCCAAATTTGGTGTCAATTCGTCCCAAATGCCAAGGTCTATTTTCCCCAAACTCTATCAGTGTTCACATTTGGGCATATTGAGTATTTATGCCAAGTTTAGTCCAGATCTATCATTGTTTAAGTCCACAGTGCTTTCTGGAGATAGGTGAACTACAACTCCCAAACTCAAGGCCAATGCTCACCTAACCCTTTAATTATTTTTTGCTGGTCATAGGCATTCTGTGGGGTCAAATTTGAGTCAATTCCAGCTCTGGTGGAGTTCAGAATGCTCTTTGATTGCAGGTGAACTATAAATCCCAGCAACTACAACTCCCAAGATCCAGAGAATGAAAATACATCCTGCCTATCAGATATTTACATGACGATTCATAACAGTAGCAAAATTCCAGATATGAAGTAGCAACAAAAATAATTTTAGGGTTGGGGTCACCACAACATGAGGAACTGTATTAAGGGGTTGCGGTGTTAGGAAGGTTGAGAACCACTGATTTATAGTATCTTTCGCAGGCAGATACTATAGGGTATCTGCTTGCGAAACGTGGACTGTCTACAGACGTCACATGCAACTCCTGGAACGATTCCATCAGCGCTGCCTCCGGAAAATCCTGCAAATCTCTTGGGAAGACAGGCGGACAAATGTCAGCGTGCTGGAAGAAGCAAAGACCACCAGCACTGAAGCGATGGTCCTCTGCGATCAACTCCACTGGACCGGCCATGTTGTCCGGATACCCGACCACCGTCTCCCAAAGCAGTTGCTTTACTCCGAACTCAAGAATGGAAAATGGAATGATGGTGGGCAGGAAAAGAGATTTAAAGATGGGCTCAAAGCCAGCCTTAAAAATTCTGGCATAGACACTGAGAACTGGGAAGCCCTGGCCCTTGAGCGCTCCAGTAGGAGGTCAGCTGTGACCAGCAGTGCTGCAGAATTTGAAGAGGCACGAATGGAGGGTGAAAGAGAGAGACGTGCCAAGAGGAAGGCGCGTCAAGCCAACCCTGACCAAGACCACCTTCTACCTGGAAACCAATGCCCTCACTGCGGGAAAAGATGCAGATCAAGAATAGGGCTCCACAGTCACCTAAGGACCCACCAGAATACTGATCCTGGAAGACTATCCTACTCGGCCAACGAGGTATCGCCTAAGTAAGTAAGTAGGGTTTCCATTTTCTATATATGGATGTGAACGGTGGATGGTGAAGGAAAGATGACAGGAAGAGAATCAATTCATTTGCAATGTTGACGCTGAATAATTGAACTACATAAACATAAAGGGATCATAGAATCATAGAGTCATAGAATTAAAGAGTTGGAAGAGACCTCATGGGAAATAGGAAGATAGGAAATAGATACTGGACTCTTCGAAGAGGTCAAGATGACCAAACTGAGGCTCCTGTTCTTTGGACAGGACTAACTGCAAAAGGCAAGAATGATAAAAGTGGAAACATAAAATCCTAGAATCATAGAATCAAAGAGTTGGGAGAGACCTCCTGGGCCATCCAGTCCAACCCCATTCTGCCAAGAAGCAGGAATATTGCATTCAAAGCACCCCTGACAGATGGCCATCCAGCCTCTGTTTAAAAGCCTCCAAAAAAGGAGCCTCCACCACACTCCGGGGCAGAGAGTTCCACTGCTGAACGGCTCTCACAGGCCATGGCTCCATTGTGTCCTAGTCTCCAGAGAAGCACAAAACAAGCTTGCTCCCTCCTCCTTGTGGCTTCCTCTCACATATTTATACATGGCTATCATATCTCCTCTCAGCCTTCTCTTCTTCAGGCTAAACATGCCCAGCTCCTTAAGCCGCTCCTCATAGGGCTTGTTCTCCAGACCCTTGATCATTTGAGTCGCCCTCCTCTGGACACATTCCAGCTTGTCAATATGTCTCTTGAATTGTGGTGCCCAGAATTGGACACAATATTCCAGGTGTGGTCTAACCAAGGCAGAATAGAGCATGGGGAGCATGACTTCTCTAGATCTATACACTATGCTCCTATTGATGCAGGCCAAAATCCCATTGGCTTTTTTTGCTGCCACATCACATTCCTGGCTCATGTTTAACTTGTTGTCCACGAGGGCTTCAAGATCTTTTTCCCCACATACTGCTCTCAAGACAGGCATCATCATCCCCCATTCTGTCTTTTCATTTCGTTTTTCCTGCCTAAGTGGAGTATCTTGCATTTGTCCCTGTTGAACTTCATTGTGTTAGTTTTGGCCCATCATCTCTCTAATCTGCTAAGATCATTTTGAATTCTACTCTGGAGTATTAGCTCTCCCTCCCAATTTGGTGTCATCTGCAAACTTGATGTTCATGCCTTCTCATCCTTCATCCAAGTCATTAATAAAGATCCTGAACAGGACCGGGCCCAGGACGGAACCCTGCGGATGGCCCTCCGCTCGTCACTTCTTTCCAGGATGAAGAGGAAGCCATGGGGAGAATCACCCTCTGGGTTCGTCCACTTAACCAATTACAGATCCACCTCACCGTAGTTGAGGAAGGTGATAGGAAAAGAGGATGGCCATGCTATAGATCAGGGCTGTCCAATCTGAGGGCCTTATTATGTTTGCCTTCAAAGGACTGTTGAATCAATGGATGGATAAACCATGGAGACAGAGGGTTAACTATAATCATTTACATAGACGTCAGTGCTCTTTAGTTTCTACCTAGTTTGGGTCCCCAGATGGTACTGACGGACATCTCCCATCACTTTAGGTGATCCATCCTGCAGACAACGGGGTGGCAACCCAATGGCACTTGTGGCTTTGGGTTGGGGCAAGGTTAAAGGACATTAAAACATCAGGCACCCTATCCATGAGCCTTGTGTCTCAATCCAAATCCCACTCTCCTGATTCAACAGAACCAACTGCAGCCTTACAGATGTT